ACGCTTCAAAAGAAATCTAATTTCCACCACTTGTATCCACAATCTCGTTTTTTCGGTCACTACCCACAGCTCGTGACCATAAGTGAGGGTACGTAGATCGATCAGTAAATTGAGAGCTTCGCTTGTACATTTAGCTCTCTCTTCACCATGACAGACAGGTACAACATCTACATCACTCCAGCCACAACACCAAACTGTCTATCCCACTCTTCTCCCGTCACTCATGAACAAGACCCTGAGATACTTAAACTCCTCCACTTGGGGAAGGAACTCGTTCCTGACCCGGAGTGGGCACTCCACCCTTTTCCAGCTGAGGACCATGACCTCAGATTTGGAGGTGCTGATTCTCATTCCCACTGCTTCGCACTTGACTGCGAACGAATCTAGTGCAAGTTGGAGTCCTTCACCCGATGAAGCCAACAGAACCACATCATCTGCGATTCTAAGACCATCCAAGTGGAAGCCTTCTGCCACCTGGCCATACCTAGAAATTCTGTCCATAAAAATTATGAACAGAATCTGTAACAAACAGCAACCCTGGCGGAGTCCATCACCCACTGGAAACAAGTCCAACTTATTGCCGGCTATGCAGACCAAGCTCCTGCAACAGTTATATAAGGATCGAATGGCCTGTATCAACAGGCCAGACACCCCATACTTGAAGCACCTCCCATAGGATACTCAGGGGGACACGTTTGAATGCCTTCTCCAAGTCCACAAAACACATGTAGACTGGTTGGGCAAACTCTGATGCATCCTCAAGTATCCTCAAGGGAATAAGGAGCTGGTCCAGTGTTCCACAACCAGGATGAAAACCACACTGTTCCTCCTGCATCCAAGGTTCGACTAACAGATGGACTCTACTACTTTCATATGTATGAGTCAAAAATAGGTCCTTTTTTTCCTGCTGCTACACAAGACAAAGACTGAACTGGGGTCATGAATAAATAATTTTGTTAAATTGTGGTGAAAAAAGGTCCTGAAATGAGTGCAGTTCAGGCTTCTCAAGACAAAGCAGAGCTACCTGCCGATTCTGCCGTGCAGGACTAAAGGTTGGTAACTTCTAACCCTCCTGCTCTAGTATTTATAATGTTACATTAAAAATAACTCGGCTCTTTGCATCGTAAACATGCTGGTGGTCACTGTTCATACATTTCTTCTTCTTTTGGCTGCTCCCTTTAAAGGGCAACACAGCAGATCGTCTGCCTCCATCTCACCCTATCCCTAGTATCCTCCTCTGCCACACCAACCCTCTGCATGTTCTCCTTCATCCATGAATCTTCTCTCAGGCCTTACACTTTTCTTCCTGCCTGGTATCTCCATAGTCAACACCATTTGTACAATATATCTACTATCCCTCCTCTAAAAATATCCAAACTATCTTAGCCTTGCCTCTCTAACTTTGTCTTCAGCATTGCTTATGAAGCCTTGTTATCATTTATCTTTCAGTGCCATAGAGCTGCCTTGAAAACATGCAGTGGAGCAATTCACGGATATTTTCTTCAATAAAAATACAGCGAGAACAGCATTTTTTTCTTTTACAATATCTTCAGGCTGTTTGAGTACAGTGAGCTCATTGTTGTGTTCAAGAAACCACATTGAGATGATCTGAGCTTTGTGACATGGTGCTTCATCCGTCAGAAGATGAGTGCACTGTACTAATAAAGGGATGAACACGATAGGAATATTCAGGTAGATTGTGGTGTTGAAAAGATACTCAGCTGGTACTTAAGGGCCCACAGTGTGCCCAGAACATATCTCAACACCTTGACACAACGCCGCTTGATAAAAGGCAGGATAGAGCCACGTTTTCATGTCCTTTACGCCAAATTCTGAACCTGCCATCTGAATGTTGGAGCAGACCAGGTGAAGTTTTTCCAATCATCTGGTGTCTAATTCAGGAGAGCCTTTGAGAAGTGTAAGCTCAGTTTCCTGTTCTTAGCTGACAGGAACGGCACCTGGTGTGGTCTTCTGCTGCATGTCTACATGCCTAAATGCACTGAGTTCTGCCTTGTGATTGGCCGATAAGATATTTGCATTAAGGGGCAGTTGAACAGGTGTGCAAAACATCTGATAAAACCCTACATTGTCTGAAAGCATAATTGCCTTTTTTTATAAAGCAGGAGTGAACATGTTTGACCTGTTTTTTTAAACCAAAAAGGTTGTTTTTTTTTGTCTTGTCCCATTAGTTTATCAAGAAATACTCCACAAATATAAAAACGTATTTCTTTAAAGGCTTCTTCCTCAACCTGCATTTGCAGTCCATGACAGGGGTTATTGACGATGAACTTCCTTGTGATGCAAAGTCCAGGTAATAAATAAATAAATGCAAAAAGGCTGTGCAGTGCAATTTGGTGCACATATAATCATATCAATGTTTGCTTCCTTGTACTCTGAACATGTCCTGCTTTTTTCAAAATGCCTCGACACAGCCTGTTTAACAGGATACCACAACACATTTGTTGAAATCGGGGCGTGCGCTACACTACAAGAAAACACTGAAAACTTTTTTTTCTCCAATCCAGTCTATTCATTTCAGTGAGAAAGTGAGACAAAAAACAAACTGCAGCAACTTTATCCTGCTTTTATTCACTTCATCAGAGCATATGAAAAACTTTCATACCATTACAAACACTGATCCTTGAGAACTTTAAGTTCTGTCATGCTTGAAAAATAAGGAATGCATACATTTGCAAAAAGGAAAAGGAGTGGGGTGGCTGAGGTGGGCGGCGGTATCAAGCTATGATGACAATGCTCTTGTCCAAAAAAGCAAACCTTTTCTAAGGCAAACAAGTAAGCTCTTTTCTGTATCTCCATGACTCATGTGGAAGCTGAGTGGTGTGGTTGTGAGTGGTACTATTTTGCCCAAGCAGAAGTGCAAAACAGAGGTGGCCATGGAAACTGTCGGCATCCAATGGGAGATGAGGATATGGGTGTGGCCTGACTGACAAGTCATTCTGCCCTGCTCAAGTCCTGTACCTTGGTCAATTAATAACTTTCTTCGCGCCCATTCTTCTGCAGGAAGAGAGAGAGAACAAGGATTAAGTAGATGTTTCTAGAAAGAGATAAGACTGTCATGTGCTGAAAAGACTCAGAATGAGGAACCTGTGTATATGGCACACTTAAAAAATGCCCACAATGTAAAGAAAAGCCATTTTACCTACAGTTGTTTAATCTTTTTTCACATTAGTTTGAGTCTAAACAATTTATCTCCAGTTAGTGTTTTCAATTTGATATCCAAATCCTGCAATGGTTCCAAGTTCCCAGTTCATTTCACTTGAATCCCTCTGGGAAGTTTTTGGCACGCCAGCTTCCTAACACATGTCATTTCACTGAGAGTCACGTTAATCTGGGCGGCAAATGCCACTTTCTCCTTTCACTCTTTGTCACTGAACACGCTGGCTGACCTCTGTTTGTTTTTGTACACCTGCCAAATAGAGGTGGCCACCCAAGGTGCCTGAGCACATACGTTTAAGCTAGTTTGCATAGAGCTGGAAGAGAAGAAGAAACCCCAGGGAAGGGTTCCCTAAATGAAGATCACACACATATCACCAGAGTAGGAGGAGCAGAGCGGTCTTCTAATTTAAGCACGCTGATCACAAGAGTGGCCTGATTATTAATGGTTTCCATGGAGCAAACACAAACAGATAGAAATACAAAACACAGCAGCCTCGTAGTCACAGATCTGACGCACGGCTGACATCATCCGTAGGTGTGTGACTGGCTGGTGCGCGTCCTTAACCAAACTGCTGCACCTGTAGAAGCTCAGCGTCCTCATCACCCCTATATTTGTGGTCATCAGAGCATGCTGGACAGATGCACACATGTGCACTCTGAACTCTTAAAAAAACACAGCTGTGTTTATTCCTTTTATTCCAACTGCCTCCCAAAGAACGAGCTTGTTTTATGTTTATTATTTATTTATGTTTTTTTCCCCTTTGTTTTCAGTGGGTGCGGTTATTGTGTGAGATGCTGTGAGGCTTTTCTTTTCTTTTCTTTGAGCTAAACTTGCAAAGCAACACCAAATAAACAGTGAAATTGCAACAAAGAAATAGTTTTGGAAAAGGTTAAAGGACAGTTTAGGCCTGCCACCATAAAAATCCTACATTTACATACTTTGTGACAACTGTCATACTGCCACACTGTAAGAGCACTTCTAGAGAAGTAACACAGAATAAAATTATGAGCAACTCCCATAAAAAAGTAAACAAACATGATTGCTCCGTATTCACTGGAATGCATTCTCGAGCATAAACCATGCTTAACATGTAAACATTAGGCACATATATGGAAAAAAGCTTTTCCCTTTGACACAGTGCTAATGATGGCTGCCTCACATTATATTACATTCATATTTTTCTCTTGGGATTATAAGATACAGGTTTGACACATGCACTACCCAACAGGTACAACAGGTTTTCTCTCATGATCCTGAGAGCTTAAACAATGAAATAATTTTCAGTTACCTCTCTCTGTTTTCACCTGTGATCTTTTGAGAGTGCTTCTTCTGGCAGGTGTCATTCTGTATATGACACAGTAACTCAAATGACCATTGTAGTTAACAGAGTCCAGGAAGAATTTTCTCAGATGCTTAACTGGACTGCGTAGCCATCACTGGAATGTTAAATCAAGAACTATAAAACTTTTAATGTAATTTTTAATATTAACAAAAAACTCTAATTCAGTGTTTAAATAAAGAGATGGGTGCCAGCGTGTCTTAAATGATCAATATAAAGTGAAAAAAATAAACTGTGTAAAAACAAAATGCCTTTTTAAACTTTAACTTACTGAAGTCTAAGCTTTACATGAGCCTTAAACCATTAAAATTCTCCTTTGCAAATGTAAACTTGTTTTTTAATCAAGTTTAAGGCCTTAAAAAAACTGGAAGATTGGCTAAATCTTTAATGCACTTGAGAAAAATACCGTTTTCCTTATTGCTGTCGCGATAAAGCATGATATTCCTCCGCCGCTTCCTATATTATTCAATGGGAGGAGAGACGAACAACGACTCGGGCGGAGTGATTTAGTCAGGACTACACCCAAGCGCCTGTCCGGTTGCAGCGGCTCCTCTTCGTTGCCTAGACCAGAAGAAAGCCGGGACGTAACGGTGCCGGGGGGGTTTTTGCTTGCTGGAGGCCCGTGTAACCACCGATAAATACAGCTTTCTCACAGTTTCTTCGTCGTTCAAGAGGCGATCGTGACTTAGCTTACTTTTTTCACCTTAAAACTAATTTCACAAACATGTCCTGGCAAAGCTACGTGGACAACCTGATGGCCGATGGCAGCTGCCAGGACGCGGCCATTGTTGGGTATGCGGACGCCAAATATGTCTGGGCATCTTTTGTCGGCGGTACCTTTGCCAACATAACGGTACGTATGTGCTGTACGTCGGTATTCCTAGTTGTGTATGAGCATAATGCACATTTTTGCATGTCGCTTATACGTTTGTCTGCATGCCAGGCCTTGTTGAATGGGGGATAAGCGAAGCAGTGTGGGTACACATGGTATCCGGTGGTCACACATAGGATCCACTGGCATGTGTGCGCCGTTGCTTTTCAACCTGTCGCCTGCAATTCCCACCTTTCTTTTCCCGCTTTTATTGTACGTCTACTATCTTAACGCTTAAGCCATTTTCCCTTTTAAAATAACTGTGCAGCACCGAAGAGATCAAGCTAGAGATCATCGTTGCCGCGAACTCGAGCTAAAGCGGCTAACTTGGCTGCTAACAGTAACTAGCCGCATTGGAAAAGCTACAGTAATATAAGAAAATTAAACGGCAGTCCTATAAAACTATTGTATCCTGAATTAGTCATTCGCATGTTTAACAACTGCTTAGTAGTTTCGGCTACCATAAGCTTTTCCATGCAGACTAAGTCAGTGTTACCAGTGATTAGCGAACTACACGGTTAGCTCAAATCGGGCCGGTCATCTCCCTCCCCACCACCATCATCCTCAGTCATTACTAGCTAACGCTAACGGCGCAGGGTTGGCGGCACTCGCACGCATTCCTTACGTGCTGGCGTTCCGTTGGTCCTTTTCAATTTTCCTATTCGGCTTCTGTGAATCTCTCCACCGCTACCGCCCATCATTTTTCCAAGATGGCGGACACGCTCCCAGTTTCTTATTCATTTTTGTCCATGGGAGCTAACCGAGACGTCTGGGCTCGGATCTCGGTTTTTTTCTCATTAGCATGCCACCCCGTGTTATGGACAGCATGCGTCGGATGCTCCTATTTTACAACAAATAAAACTCAGTCGACTGAAAGTAAAGCTAACTTGTTTAACAGACACATTCGGGGTTTTCCTTCATCCTCCATTTTGTCCGTTAAATTTATTTTGCCAGTCATCTACGTTTTTAATCGGGACTCCTTCCAACGTGAATATAACGAAGATTTAGCAGTTCTAGCTGGCTATTATAAAATAAAAAAACCCGCTCATGTGGCGGGGACTGTGGTTTCGTTATCTGAGGTTAACTGGGAGTGCCCACTCGGAGCTATGGAACGGCAGCGTTTTCCTTTTGAAATACAGCAGTTTCCTTAATGGACTTTTTAGCGTGTAAAAGAAGCTTGCTTTTACCGGCTGTCAACCAGCATGCCCGGTGGTTGCATTTGGTAAAAGGAATCCCCTTTTAATGAATACAGAAGGTTTTCAGGGGATCTGAAGTCGTTTTCATGTGTGGATGGCGGCTTTTCATTCCCGGTTGAAGTGACCAAATTAGCAACCCTGGCCTGGGCTTGTAGGTAGCCGCCATGCTATCGTTATCTTACGACGTGCTTTGAGTTTGCCGTTTTCCCTTCCTGACTGTGTGCCATGACTCTGCACTTCTGGACTCAAGGGGCAACGCCTTTTGTTCTGCAGTTCGCTCCAAATAAAGTAGTTTGAGCAAGAAAATGTATATATTTTTTTACTGTACTGAGTTTCAAAGAAAACAAATAAGTTGTCCCCAAAAGTGAAATATTAGCAGCTTAACGTTTTCGTCATCGCGGTATGGTCGAGATTTCAGGACTTCTCCACCGGTAGCATAAAGGAGACTCCTTGAAACAGACCATGTGCTTTCATCTGCCCTGGGCTGGATGGTCCTCTGTATCAGTCTAAATACTGCCCTCTGTGCTAAGATGACTAATAAAAACCATTACACACTTAAAATAAAAATAAAAAAAGGGGGGGGGGCACTTTTCAACAAGACTTAATCTTTTAAAGAGAAACATCAATAATACAGTGTGGTTTGAAATTTGTTGACTGGGGTTGAGGGGGGAAAGGGCAATCTGTCAAAGATGGAAACTATGACCTCATACATTTTAATGACTGAATTGTAAACCATATTAATTAAAATATCCCATAGGTATATTTTGGGCCTCTTGCAGAGTAATCCGTCAAACCAAATACTTCATGATAATGCAAATTTAGCCTGGAGGTCTTCTGTAAAATACATTTTTATGTTGGTGCCTTAAATGGGTCCTGGTGCAGAACAAACTCGTAAGATGTACAGATTAGTTTAGGATATACTTCCTGTTAGATGTTGAAACCCCCATTAACCAACTATATATAGATTAAGGGAAATCATTACACCAGCCAGCCAGCTCTGGACATCTTGTGCATAAATTCAGTCATAGTTGAATGTTGTGCAGTAGTGGCAATAAATACTAATTCTACCCTCTTGTAATTTAAAAGCTGCCGATTAAACATGAATGCAAGCTCTGGGCACAAGGCTTTCACAGACTAGAGTTGGGCATTTATCATTAGAACTATTTTACTACAATAAATTCCAAATTATTTCAGTATGTTTCTCAATTTATATATTAAGCAATGATGTTTTTGTTGTGGAGGGACAGCAGATTCTGAGCTGAGAGGAGGCTGGGCAATTAAACTTGAGGATGGAGCAGTTGTGAAATCTGGGCTGGTGCTGATGTGTAAAAGAAGTTTGGCTGATCTTCTTGTGCCAGGGAAACACAGGAAATGAGTAACTTCCCTGTAATGAGCGTCTTTCAGCTCTTGATTAGCATCATCTTGCACCAATTTTTAAAACTGCCAAAATTTGATCGAAGACAACAGATTAACACTGGACAATGCAGCCATCAGCCAAATAGTTTGAAACACTGGTGTCTGCTCAGGCTTTCACTGTGTGTGTAGCTCTTGCTCAATCTCGAGGCTTCACAGCACCCACATTATGGAGCAATACATGTGTTTAAATTGTGTTTGTGGAGAAACCCTCAAGTGTCTCCACATAAGCAATATTCTGCATTGATCTTAACGACGATGTACCTGACCTCCTGATCTCTGTGCTTCCTCCTAGCCTGAAGAAATTGATGTGTTAGTAGGAAAGGACCGAGAGGGATTCTTCACCAGCGGGCTGACCCTGGGCAATAAAAAGTGCTCCGTAATCAGAGACAGCCTCCAAATTGACAACGACTGGACAATGGACATCCGAACAAAGAGTCAAGGAGGAGAGCCCACATACAATGTTTCTGTAGGCAGAGCAGCCAAAGGTAAGCATCAGGTATACTGCTGTTGGCAGCATAAATCTTGAGTAGTTACACAGTAACCTGCTTTGAGTTTTACCATTTTAGTTTAGCTGTTTATTTTTGCTTTTAAAACGATATTATTGTCTTGTGCAAGCATGTGGGGTAGATGTTGACTGCACCTTTCCTCAATATATGACAGATGGGTGTAAAATGTCTGGATGTTACTTTCAGTGACGGTCGATAACAGGCCGCAGTTGCTTCCATGTAGAAATGCATATTCAGGTTGTTTGAGCTCAGGAAGTTCATATTCAGAGATTATTGCTATGACTATTATCCAAGAGTGAGTTTATTTCCCCGCTAGAGTTATATTGCAGTTTAATTGGTATGGTTTACCTTTAACACTTTAAGACTAAGCAGCTTACAAATGAGAAAATCATAATCAGTTATGGTTTAGTAAAGTGTCTGTATGTTTACCTTTTTTTTGATATGTGAATTTAATAATTTTGCCTCCAGTTTATTCAGAACTTCTTACAGCTGCCAAGAATCGGAACAATTAAAGGGTATCATTTCTTTGTGGAAATGGTTATAAAGTAGGTAAATTCTTAAGCTTCAGTCTTAAATGTGACCATCAGTAGGTTAAATTAAAGGCTTTTTAAAATGTATTTCTTGTCATGGGTCACAACCTTGATAATATTTCAGTAAGCTGAAGTTGAGTCTTTAAGGACTTGCCTGAGAGTTGTCAGTTTTCATGTTGCCTGTGTGGGCCCCGATGTCCTGCCCAGTTCATGCCACAAGGTACTCTAGCTAACAGACTGCATCATCAGCTTCTGGGCTCACTTTTGGGATCAGGATTTCTGGGAAATCCTTTCTGGAATGCATGCATCTTCCTCCTTTCTGGTTTAACACCCCCCCCCCCCCTTTCAAATTCACCACCTGTTTTTCCCACTCGCTTCCACTCTGTCCTAGTACTTGAGGCATATGAGGGTGTTTTGTTTTTTTTAAACACATGTATTGAGGAGAGGTATGCCAAGCATGCTGCTGCATTAGTGATGGTTACTAGTTCCTAACTTCACTTTCTTGTTCTTTGCTGCTGTCATGGCGCATAATGACACATTAAACAGACTGATAGGAGCAGAAACAGCCATGAAATGCTAGGCTTTGTGTGCCCCACCCTCTTGGCCAAACAGCAGGTATTATTTGGATATTTTACTCATGTAACTAAAATGGACATAGAAGCTACTCTTGCAGCCATTTGACCTGGTAAACAAAGACTGACTCCCATCAGTGGCTAAAACACTGACTAGATAAACTTCAGCCTCTCTGCATTGAATTTGTTCATCACTGTAAAGGGACTTTGGACTAGTTTCAGAGTTCTGTGGTCTACGTTTAGCAGTTTAAAGTGTAGTAAAGCCTTGATCTGGCTTTTAGCTCATGTTAAACCACAGCATGCTGGGAGAGCAGTGTCCTCTTAATAGTTTATAAAATAATAAACGATACATTGAGTCTTTGTGGCAGTTTGCTATTGCACTGGACTCTGTGCTAACTCCAGCTCTGTGTCTCTGCTTGTTTGGGCATCACAGATCTGACGACAAGGCTTTGCATGCATCCTTCACGTTTATTTTCCTGTTGCACTTACTGTCTTCCTAACTGTAACGTGACCTGTCGCCACCAGCAGCACCGATAAGAAAATGAATGTTGGAGCTCTGCACAGCCTTCAGAGTTGAAGGCACCGCTCTGCTTTCTGTGCCATTGTCTTCCTTTTGTAGCCGTCTCGTCTGCCTTTGCCGCTTTAGCTCTGTGCTCTTCTTCTTTTCATTGTGTGATCTCCGCACCTTCTCTAAATGTCCCTTCTCTGTCTCTTTTCTTTCAGTCTTGGTCTTGGTAATGGGCAAAGAAGGGGTCCATGGAGGCGGATTGAATAAGAAGGCATACTCGATGGCAAAATACTTGAGGGATTCAGGGTTTTAGTTTAGTTTTGATGTAGCTTATGCGGTGTAGGGTTAAAAAAAACAAATAAAAAAACAAAACAAAGGAAAATTAAAAAAAAAAGCATAAAATTTTGGGGGGAAAAACAAAGCAAAAAAAAAAATCTGTTCTAATGTTGAGCCCATGTTTTCCCCCGCGTCCCCGAACGGTCCCGTTTAAACAACCCCAGGAGCATTTCTAAACGGCACAGGGTTCGAGCTCTGTCCCCATATTTGGCCGAGATGGCATTGAGTGTTATTCTTTTTCCAGCCCTGCAATCAACATGCCTGTTCATTTTATATTGTTTCTTTTCCTTTGTGTACTCCAGCATTGGTTATTGTCATGGGGAAGGAAGGTGTCCATGGAGGGCAGCTCAACAAGAAAGCATTTCAGATGTCTGAGTACCTGAGGAAGTCCGGATACTAAAGCAGCCTGTACCCAGCTACCTAGCAGCTCACCCTTACCACCCTGTTGCATTTCACACTACTTCCAGTCCTAGTTTGTAGTTTTTGTTTTTCTGCCTTCTCTTCTCCCCATTTGTTATCTGTCTTTGCTGTGTGGGGGTTTTTTTTTTTTTT